AAGCAAAAAGTCGAAGGAAACTGTCCATGAATGTGGAAAGATTTCCAAGGAATATTTTAGGAATATTTAGGCCTTTTATATTAATAAAACATAAAAGGCAGGTTGCAGAATGGCACTCCAGCGGTGACCCAGTGTGCCATATGCCAATGGCTAGAAAGGGCCCTGGATGGTCACATGCCAGACTTTTGCAGGAAAGGGATAATGGCTTTTACTGTGAAGACTTACATGCTGTTTGAGCATATTCATTTCTGTCTGTGTATTTGAAAAAATATTCTAAGACATGACTTCAAACTAACTGCAGTTTAGCAGTTACCGTCTCCATCCTTCAGGCAAGGAAACACCACCCAGAAGAGGATGGTGCTTCCTACTTAGCCGGTGTCCTGGCTGCGGCTTTGTTTTGGCTGTTTTCTGTTGCAGGTGGCCTGTGTTGAAGGGACCCTCTACACACTGACAGTGCCTCAGCTGCAGGTGGTCTCCAAGGTGTCTGTGTTTCCCAACAACTCCATGACCCTCATCTGCTCTCCTGGCCGAGAGTGGGTGTTTGTCTCTACACAGAATTCAGACCTGGGCTCAAAGGTCAGTGTCTGCGGAGCCCTTTCCTTAGGGAGCCAGCACGTGAGGAAGACGGAGGGTCTGGAACCCCAAGGTTGTGGGATGCATGTTAGGACCAAGCCACGCAGCCGGTTGAGGGCACCCAGGTCAAGTGTTGCTCATCGTGAGCCACACCTGTTCTTGTCGGGGTCTGTTCCCAGCAGTAGTGTCCCTCTCTGCTGGCACTTACCTCCCTTATGCAGGAAGCTCAAGGCCACTGTTGAGTCTGTCCTCAGGGCTCCTGCCCCTGTAGCCTCTGCTCTGTCCAGGCTGCTGTGTTGCCTGTGAGCTGAAAGGGGTTGGCACCTAGGCTGGGGAGGGTAAAGTTTAGTTGTGAACAGGTTTGGGCCTTAGGGACATCCCAGTGGAAATCGTTCAAGAGCCGTTTGTTTGGTGATCTGAGGACAGAGCTTCAGTGAGAATGAGAGTGAGGGGAAGGCATGGAGGGGATGCTGACAACGTGGAGAGAGCATCCGGTGGCTGGCAGAGGAAAGCCCAGCGCTTCGCTGCGCCTTCCGCATAGGGGTTGTGTGAGAGTCCTGATGACTCGTGGGCACAGGGACGTCCAGTCATCTGCTGAGGATGAGGCACCCGTTGAGTGCCAAGGTCTGAATTGGGAGTTAGACTAGAGTATAAGGCAAACTGCTGGTGATGGTCTTTTGGAAGAAGGAGGACAGAGAGGGAAACTGATCACAGAGCAGGAAGGGACAGAGAGCCCCGGGACCTGGTAGCTGGGCAGGCGAGTGGTCAGGGAAGAGCAGCCAAATGTAGAGAAGCCACCCTCTGAAAATGCAGTGCCAGGGTCCCTAGGGGAGGCATAAGGAGCTGGGAAAGGAATATGCTGTGTATTTGCAGGCAATGGCAAAGCAGTGACCAAGCTGTTCAAAACCAGAAAAATGCTGCACCTGGCCTACCAGTGGGGCCAGACGTGGGCTGGGATTAGCCTTGAAAAGCCCCTGGTCTATGAATAGTTGGAAAGGAGGACCCACAAGAGGCATGGCTGCCCTGTGGGGCCAAGTAGGGCAGGGTTGGGGTTAGAGGTGGGGGCAGAGCCAGATTCCCTGGCTAGGTCCCCTAGGGGTGGGGAGGAGGGTTTCCAAGTGCTCCTGGGCCTGCGAAGCCCCCTCCCTCACCTGCAGTGTGACCCATGCAGGTACGTTTCCCCAGGTGTTCTACACTCACTCCTTGCTGCACCCATTGGAAGACGAGCCTCCTGTCTCCACCACCCTCCCCGTCTGGCTGAGTTCCAGAGCCTGCTGGGCCCCTGACGAGGTGGCCAGGCTGATTGTGATGCACAGAAATGACAATGGCATGCAGCTGATTGTCACTACCTATGAGTTAGGGGCCAAGAAGTCCAGGGATAGAGTGAACATTCTGGGTAAGGGTCCCCGTGCTGGTGCCGGCGGGTCTGCATGTCACCGCCATCATAGTGTGATTCTTCCAGCGCAGGTTGCTCACATTTCCTCTGGGACACTTTCTATTTCCTCTCAGTGAGATATAGGGATATAGTGGCCCCTCGGAGGTGGTCTTGTTTGTGATTTTATGTGCTGGTTGAGCAACTGAGCACTTACTACATGTCGGGCCCTCTGGACAGCCTGGGATTCAGACATTAAATGCCGACTCTTAGAGTCTCACTTCTCCTTACTGACCTTCCTGCTTTTACTCATTTCTGCCTCTTTTCCTGGCTTTGTCAAAGGCCCTGTCTGGGCGCTGAGTGCACACAAACATGAACACAAGCCACGACTGTCTCTTCCCTAGGGAGCTTCTAGTCCAGAAGGAAAATAAGACCCACATCCTTCTTCACACTGTCTCCTTATCTATGTCCCAAACCCCGCGTCACCCTGACAGGCCTTCCCGATGGTCCTTAGCATTTTTTCTTTTGTGTTATGTTTGTTTTCGTATCATTATTTGACCATAAATTTCACTCTGAGCTTCCTGGCAACCAAGGAAAAAAGAGAAACAAAATGTGTAATATAACCCCTTGTCTGATATGAGAGAACACATGAATTCTTCAGAAGAGGTAATTTTTTTCCTGGTAAAAAGGAATGTTATACAGTATAAAATATAGTATCTTCAATTGTTTTTGGCAGATGCCATAAATGTCATATAGTTCTTAAGTGGCCGTTTCTTATGTCATCCTGTCATAGATGAAAAAGGGTAGAAGGAAGGGTACCTCATCTGGCATGAAGGTACTACATGCCAGATACTCTGCTGGTCACTTCCACGAGCATATGGCACTGAATCTTTACAGTCACCTGTAATTAAAGTGTCATAATCAGTATTTTAGAGCTGATGAACTGGAGATATAGGGGGGTGAATGCAGGTCTAACTGCAAAACTATAGCTCTTTTCAGTGTACCACATCATCTTAGGTTAGGCATATGTCTATTCCAGAGAAGCCAATTTCTGTGTCTTTATTTCAAAAAGTGCAACAGATCGCCAGTTTCCTCTTCCCAGACACCATGGTGCCTCCCCACCTCATGAAGGGCCATGGCTCAGAGGTGATCCTGCTGGTCTCTGGCTTGACGCTGGTGCTGTTCACCATTCATGGCTTGAAGCTGGCTGCCTTCCAAGACCACCAGAAGCCCATCACATCCATATGGGTGGTGAGTGTGGTGCCCCTGCCCATGTCGCGGCTTTCTGCCTTCCGGAGTCCACATCCACACTAACTTGACTTTTCATTTCAAGGGCCCAAACCAAGTCATCACCTCTTCCCTTGACTTCTCTTTGCGAGTCTATGTGTGGAACAAAGAAAAGAAATATCGCATCCTCAAGAGCTGCTATCATTTGCTTGGGGGATCCCACAGATGGGCCAGGTAATTGACTCTGTTTTCCTTCACTTTGCCTGTAAAATGGCCTTAGGCCTACCAAGCAGTGTTTTTGTTTTTGTTTTTGTTTTTTTTCTTTTTGTCTTTTTTCGTGACCGGTAACGGGATCGCAACCCTCGGTGTCGCGCCCGCACCGCGCTCAACCAGTGAGCGGACCGGTCTCTATATGGGATCTGAACCCTTGGTGGGAGCGCCGCCGTGCTCCCTAGTGCCGCACTCTACCAAGTGCGCCACCGGGCCGGCCCCCAAGCAGTGTTTTTTACGGAAATGTTGGAAAGGATGTTAATAAGACCTACAGTCATAAGCCCAGCCTCTCCCTTCTTAATGGGACCTAAGGCAAGCACTGCTCAGATTCTGTTTCCTCTTCCTCTAAAGATGTTGACTGCAGCTGTGCATAACATACACTGTCTCCTGTAATGTACAAAAACTACACATGCAGTTGGCATCACCCATGTTTTACAGATAAAACAGAAGCATATAGATGTGGATATTTTGTCCAAGGTGCCACAGAGAGCACACAGCCAAGCTTGGCTGAACCCTGACTTTGACCTTGTGGAAAATGTCCACACTCATTAGCTCTTGTGCCTACATTTCTTTCATTCAATATAGCAGTAAGAGTGATCAGGAAGTGATAGATTAATTCTAAATTCCCTGACTTTGACCTTGTGGAAAATGTCCACACTCATTAGCTCTTGTGCCTACATTTCTTTCGTTCAATATAGCAGTAAGAGTGATCAGGAAGTGATAGATTAATTCTAAATCCTGGGGAAATGACTCAGACTTGCCCAGATTGGATTAAATGCCTCTCCTCCTATATCAGAAGAAGTTTCTAGAATAGTTGGAATCATTGGGATTCAGGAGCTCTTCTGAGGAGGGCCCAGAACTGATATTCCCATTTAAGAATGTGATATTTGCTAATTGTTACAAATGAATTTAGGTCCTCAAATCAAAGCCCAGAGTAAGCAAGAGATAGAAATGGGGCCAGATGGGGTGGACTGGGTGGGAGACGGCACAGGAAGCTGAGTTCCGCCTGCATGTAAAGGCTTTTACTACTTAAGTTCTTGTCCTTTTCTCAGATTAACACCCAGCATGCCCCTTCTCTTTGCAGTAAATTTACCCACGTGGAAAGTGACGGCATGAGCATTGTAGGTGTGGAAACCAATAACATGGAGAGAAGTAGTCTGAGGTCATACTGCTTCAAGGTGCAGCACGTCTCAAAGGGTGGTACCAAGTGAAAAAGGTCTCACTTTGAACACATGCAGAGACTGGAATGATGTTACCAGCATGGGGACAGGAATTAGTAATTCTTGGGTGCCTACTGTGTGCCAAGCACTGTGCTGGGTGACTTTACTTTTAAAACCTCACAAGTCAACAAAATGGGTATGATTGTCTCTGTTTTGCAGACAAGGAAAATGAAATTTAAAAAGACAGTAATTGAAAGAGATAGACCCCAATACTGTAATAGTATGGGACCTAAACACCCCTCTCTCAAAATTGGACAAATCATCTAGGCAACAAGTCAGTAGAGAAACACAGGATTTAAACCACACTTTAGACCAATTGGACTTTCCAGATATCTACAGAACATTTCATCCAGCTACTACAGAGTATACATACTTCTCACCAGTTCATAGAACATTCTCCAGAATAGATCACATGCTAGGTCACAAATCAAGCCTCAATAAATTTTAAAAAATTGAAATCATTTCAAGTATTTTTGCAGACCACAATGGATTAAAACTAGAAAGCAACAAAAAGCAAAACTCTGGAAACTATACAAGTACATAGAAATTAAACAACAGGCTCCTGAATGACATATGGGTCCAAGAAGAAATTAAACAGGAAATCAAAAAATTTCTCAATACTAATGAAAATCATGAAACATCATATCAAAACATATGGGATGCTGCAAGGCAGTTCTAAGAGGGATGTTTATTGCATTAAATGCTTACATCAAAAGAATAGAAAGTTTTCTAACTAACAACCTAACACTACAACTCAAAGAATTAGAAAAACAAGAACAATCTAATCCCAAAGGTAGTAGATAGAAAGAAATAATTAAGATCAGAGCAAAACTAAATGAAATAGAAACCCAAAAACAATACAAAAGATCAGTCAAACAAAAAGTTGGTTTTTTGAGAAGATAAATAAAATAGACAAACCATTAGCCAGACTAACTAAAAACAGAAGAGAGAAGAACCAAATATCAAAAATTAGAGTGAAAAAGGAGACATAACAACCAATATCACAGAAATACAAAGAATCACTAGAGGCTATTATGAATAACTATATGCCAGAAAATTTGAAAACCTGGAGGAAATGGATACATTTCTGGACACAAACTACCAAGACTGAACCAAAAAGTAATAGAAAACCAAAACAGACCAATAAACAAGCAAAGAGATTGAAGCCATAATCAGGATTTTTCCAACAAAGAAAAACCCAGGACCAGGTGGCTTTACTGCTGAATTCTACCAAACATTTAAAGAATTAATACCAATTCTTTTCAAACTATTCCAAAAAATTGAAACAGAGGCCATTCTCCCCAACTCATTCTATGAAGTCAGTATCACCCTGATACCAAAGCCAGGCAAAGATTCAACAAAAAAAGAAAATTATAGGCGAGTATCTCTGATGAACGTAGATGCAAACATCTTCAACAAAATATTAGCAAACAGAATACAGCAATATATCAAAAAAATACACCATGATCAAGTGGGATTCATCCCAGGGATACAAGGATGGTTCAACATACACAAATCAATAAATGTGTGAAACATCACATCAGCAAAATCAAGGACAAAAACTATATGAATCTCAGTAGATGCATGGTAAAGACTCTCAGCAAATTAGGTATAGAAGGAGAATATCTCAACATGATAAAAGCCACATATGAAAAACCCTCTGCCAATATTATCCTGAATGGATCCTTGAGAACAGGAATGAGACAAGGATGCCCACTCTGACCACTCCTATTCAGTATAGTACTGGAAGTATTAGCCAGAGTAGTCAGTCAAGACAAAGAATTAAAGGGCATCCAGACTGGAAAAGATGAAGTCAAATTATCCCTGGTTGTGGATGACATGATCCTGTATATAGAGCAGCCCAAAATCTCTACAAAAAAACTCTTAGAGTTGATTAACAACTTTAGTAAAGTTGCAAGATACAAAATCAACATGCAAAAATTGGTAGCATTTTACACTCCAACAACAAATTAGCAGAAAAAGAGATCAAGGAAGCAATTCCATTTACAATAGTCACAAAAAAAGTAAAATACCTAGGAATCAACTTAACCAAGGAGGTAAAAGATCTCTACAATGAGAACTACAAACCGCTGTTGAGAGAAATTAAAGAGGACACAAAAGATGGAAAGACATTCCTTGCTCATGGATTGGAAGAATCAACATTGTGATAATGTCCATACTTCCCAAAGCAATCTACAGATTCAGTGCACTCCCCATCAAAATACCAATGACATTGTTCACAGAAATAGAAAAAAAAAATCCTAACATTCATATGGAACAACAAAAGACCCTAAATAGCTAAGGCAATCTTGAGCAAAAATAAATAAATAAATAAAGCTGGAGACAATGTTACCTGACTTCAAACTATGCTACAAAGCTGTAGTTACCAAAACAGCATGGTACTGGCATAAAAACAGACACTTGGACCAATGGAACAGAATAGAGAACCCAGAAATCAGCCCACAAACCTACACCCAACTGATCTTCAACAAAGGCAAGAAGAACACGCATTGAGGGAAACACTACCTCTTCAATAAATGGTGCTGGGAAAACTGGACATCCATATGTAGAAAAATGAAACTAGACCTGTACCTCTCACCATACACCAAAATCAACTCAAAATGGATTAAAGACTTAAATATAAGACTGGAAACGATAAATTTAAAAGAAAATGCAGGGGAAACACTTCAGGACATAGGAGTGGGCAAAGATTTTATGAATATGACCCCCAAAGCACAGGCAACAAAAGGAAAAATAAACAAATGGGATGATATCAAATTACAAAGCTTCTGCACAGCAAAAGAAGCAAAACAGAGCAAAAAGACAACCTACAGAGTGGTAGAAAATATTAGCAAACTATGCATCTGAGAAAGGATTAATATCCAGACTATACAAGGAACTCAAACAACTTAACAGTAAAAAAAATAACCCAATTAAAAAATGGGCAAAGGAACTGAACAGACATTTCTCAAAGGGTGATGATAGAGTTTGGATGTGCTGTCACCACCAAAACTTATGTGGAAATCTAATCCCCAATGTGGCAGTGTTGGAAACTGAGTCATGGGTGTGAGTCCCTCATGAATGGATTAGTGCTCTCCCTAGGTGGCGGGAGTAGTGTGTTCTCGCTCTATTAGTTCCCATGAGAGCTGGTTGTTTAAAAGACCCTGGCACCTTCCCTCTCTCCTTGCTTCCTCTCACCATGTGATCTGCTTGTACCTGCCAGCTGCCTCCTGCTTTCTGCCATAAGTATAAGCAACCTGAGGCCTATGCCAGATGCAGCTGTCCCAGAATCATAAGCCAAATAAACCTCTGTTCTTTATAAATTACCCCATCTCAGGTATTTCTGTTATAGCAACACAAGCGGACTAATACAGGTGATATGCAAATGGCCAACAGACACATGAAAAAATGCTCAACATCACTCAGCATCAGGAAAATGCAAATCAAAACCACATTAAGATACCATCTCACCCCAGTTAGACTGGCTGTCATCAAAAACACAGAGAACAACAAATGCTGGTGAGGATGTGGAGAAAAAGGAACCCTCCTACACTGTTGGTGGGACTGTAAATTGATGCAGCCATTATGGAAAATGGTATGGAGATTCCTTAACTTCAGATAGAACTGCCATATAATCCTGCAATTCCATTGCTGGGTATATACCCAAAGGAATGGAAAGCATCATGTTGAAGAGATACCTGCATTCCCATGTTTATTGCAGCTCTATTTAGTCAAGAGTTGGAACCAACTTAAATGTCCATCATCAGATGACTGGATAAGAAAAATGTGGTATATCTACACAATGGACTATTACTCAGCTGTAAACAAAAGAATGAAATATTGCCATTTGCAGCAACATGAATGAACTTAGAAAAAATCATACTAAGTTAAATAAGTCAGGCACAGAAAGAGAAATACCATATGTTCTTTATTTTTTTTTTCCAAATTTTATTTTATTTTGTCAATATACAATGTGGTTGATTATTGTGGTCCATTAGCGAAACCTTCCTCCCTCCTCCCTGTATCCCCCAACAATGTCCTCTCTGTTCGCTTG